CGGAATAAAAAGATAAGAGATGCTGAGTACGTGGAAGCACTTGCAAGAATGGGTAACTTCTTCCTCTGATCAGCACACCTACCTTCTAGTGGTCAAGATCATGTACAGTCCTGTTAGATTTACTGCTGCTCCTGGGTTTAGTATATAAAGTAAACAGATATGCTTCCTTTACTCTTAGGATGAAGGGACACAGACACTTGGGGCAGTCAGCCCTATTCACCTCAGCAGTCATACATGGCAGGAACATTTCAACTGACAGTTCAGGTATTAATTTGTGAGAACCACAGGTAAGGCAGGACTAAAGAAGGGTTTGTGGATTCACTACCCAATCTGCCCCTCATTGCATGAGGTATCAGATAAAGATGTTACAAGATGTAGCATCTTTTGTAACTTGTGTCTGTGAAGCTCCCCGCCTGTCCCTTTTTTCAGAATGGGATGGGGGGAGCGGAGGGAGTTCAGTCTGGGGTTTTTTTAGACCCCCCCCCCTCCCCCCCGGAGGGATGGGTGAGTGTATTGCAACTCTGCCCCCAGATTGGAGGCCTCTGGTTTACCCACCCTGCCCTTCAGCACCTGCTGGGGAGCCCCAAGAGTGGGCTCCCTCTGCTGCCTTTCCCCCTCCCGTTCTAAAAACAGGGAGCACTGGCAGCGAGCCCTGGCCATTGGTATGGACACCCGCTGCAGGCTCCCAGCCCCAGCTAGATTCCCCCCTGGAACCAACAGTGAACTTCTGTTTGGTCTGGGGTAACATTGAAACTCAGCGCTTTGCAAAAATCACTCTGAGTTACAGCTGGGACCTGCATTTCTGTCTACACCCCTAAAGCTGCAGTGCACTGGGGCAGGGGTTGGCAACTTTTGCCTTCATGGGCCAGAGCTTGCAACCCTGGTGTGGGCCACAAATCTGCGTCCTCCAGAGAGGGCAAGTCATCTCTATTTACCTTCTCTGCAGATACCCAGCCTCTCTGCAGTGAGGATAAGTGCAAGCACAGGAAAGCAGCTGAGAGGCCTATGGAGGAGGGTATTGTGAAGGGGGCAGGTGGCTTACCACAGCTGGGCCAGATCCAGCTTCTTTAAGGGCTCCAACCAGCCTGTGGGTCATAGGTTTCTGGCCCCTGCCAGTGGTAAAATTTCAGCCAGAGGTGAAAAGAGATGATGCTTTTCACCTTGGGTGCGAGGAACTGCTCTTACAGACTCTACAGTGACATTTATCATATTCTTGTACACAGAACACAGTCCTAAAATGTACATCATTTCTGAATTCATTTGTTACTACTTGTCCGTAGATGTTTGTGTTTAGTGTAATGTTTTTAGGGTTCCCTCTTAAAGTTCCTTAAGTCCTTGTCTCTGAGTACTGCTCTTGGAGCACATGCTTTCTCCACATGTGAGATCAGAATCTTGTGGCCAGAAGTGCCTGCTGCCCTGCACCCCTCCCCCCTTCTTAAGCCCCAACCCAAATGAACCAGGAAAAGCTGTTGTGACTGTTGCTCAACTGTGCTTCCCAGCTGTGAGATGGTGCTTGCTGGTGCCCTCCTGCTCCCCTCTTGTATTCTCTCTGTTTAGCTACATAGTAATTTAAGGCTTCTACCCAGTTGGCAGAACCTCTTCAGTTCTTCAGGTATTTTTTAAAATTAAGAACATTGAAGAAACCCTTATTTTTGTAGATAACTGAGCAAAAATAATATTTTCCATAGCCTGATGACAAAATCAAACTCCTCAGGATTTAAAGCTTTTGTGTTGTGTGATAGACTGTCCTCGTTTTGGGTATGTACATAGCTAGTGCATCTTTGGTCTGCAATAAGTGCCTTGCCAAGAAAAGAGGCATGGTGCACCAGTTGCTTTTCATTACTGTATCAGTGTTAGGGATACTTAACCAAATCTTTCTTTCCTGGGACAGTCCATGAGAGGAACATCAAGTTACATAGGAACCTTCTCACCTAAAAAAGGGATTGTCTTCTCAGAAGAACCTGTTCATAGAATTTGTCTCTAACATCTATGAATCTATGAATATATGACTGGAGAGGTCACTGAGTCTAGACCCCAATTCCAAGAATCTACAAAAAGAAATTAATTTCAGAAAGGTCCACAAAATGTTCACTTCGGCCTGCACTCCTGCACACCACAATCCAGAATACAGCCCCAGCATCCTAGAACAAAATATCAACTTTCAGTACAAAGGACCAGAGCTTCAAAACTACATTGTACCACAGGAAGAGAGCTGGAGAAACCATGGGCACTGCCAATGTCTTGTGCTCTTGCAATAGCAGGGAATTTATGAATAAGACATACCCCAATGACCCCCAACCAGAGTACAAAGAAAGGTAAAAAGCTTCATCAGTCCCTGCCAGTGTGATCACCTGGGGGAAAATTCCTTTCTGACTCTAGATCTGGTGGTTGGTTTAATCCTGAGACTGGGAGCAAGATCCACCAGCCTAGCACCAAAGAGGCTTTTCAGTCCCGTTAGAGTACCCTTGTACCCTGCCCAATAGTCAGTCTCTGACTTCAGAGGAAAACACAAAGGAAACCAAAACAAACTAGTAATAATAGAAGCTAAGTTACATATTGAGGAGGGGAAGAAATCCTTCCAGGCCCTTACTGGCAACCAGTGGAAGCCCTGCAGAATGGGATTAAGTACACTACAATGAAATCTGGTTTATTAGTCACTGGAATAACTCATCACTATGGTTTTATTGGTGCACTGAATCCCTGTCATAGTGCTATTGGTTTGTACCCAAAACACTTTGGCTTATTCAGTATCTCTTAAAGTATAAATAGTCATTTCCAAATGTACACACATTAAATCTCAATTACATTTGTGCTTGATAATTAGTCTGCTTAAAAAGTACTGATTTATGCCCTCAATAGCACCTGTCAAGTCATTTGATGCTTGCAAAGCATTAGATACTCTTCTGTTCAACAAGACTTAAAGGGCATTTATGTATGTGCTCCAGGAGTGGAGGAGGGAGGGTGCTTTGGTTTTTGGTTAGGGCAGTTCTGAGAGCTGCTTTGATTGAAGCACCTGAAACATCGTGTGTGTCAGTGTCCCTGCGCTAAGGGGATGGGGGATGCTTTGACTAAAGCTCATGAAACGGGCTTTGGTTGGGGTACCCCTGCTGCCATTTTTTGGCATGGAGATGCTGATGTACATGATGCTAGAGTCTGCTGGAGTGTGGTAATTGCCATGCTCCATCAGACTCGCTTAATTGAGTCTGCTTCAATGCGCTGTAATTACAGTGCATCAGAGCAGCCTCACTGCACGTGTATAGGTGCCCAAAGTGCTTACTTATTTTGCTGTGCAGAATTATTTTCTATTTTGTGGATGAGCACAAGCAGTGTACATGAAGAATCTTTGATTTTGCTCTGTCATAATCATGTAATTCTTATATAGTGACTACTCTGAACTTTTATGGTAAGAAATTGTACATTAAGCATTTATCTGTATGTAGCAGGGAGCTTGGGGCTCCTGCTGCTTTAAGGGAAGACAAGCTGCAGGTGAGGAAGACAACCAAATGAACCACATGACCCAAAAAGGGCTGGGCTTGCAGGATATAAGCCCAGGGCCTGAGCTCGGCAGGCAGTCTAGCCCAAGGAGAGCCACATGCATGATTAGAAGGCAAGAGAGTAGGCCTTATAAGGAGAGGCTGGGAGCTATGGAACTCTTCAGCCTGGAGAAGTGAAGGCTCAGGAGTGACTTGGAGGCAGCCTATAAGTATATAAGGGGTGTGTATGAGGAACTTGGAGAACATCTGTTCACCAGAGCACCCGAAGGGAAGACAAGTTACAAACTCCTGGAAGACCATTTTAGGTTTGGACTTAAGGAAAAACTTCTTTACTGTCTGAGTCTCCAGAGCCTGGAATAGACTCCCCCCAGAAGTGGTGCAAGCACCTATTCTGGATACTTTTAAGAAACACTTAGATGCTTATCTTACTGGGATCATTTGACCCCAGCTGACTTCCTGCCCCTTTGACAGGGGGCTGGACCTGCTGATCTTCGGAGGTCCCTTCCAGGCCAAATGTCTATGAAATCTATGTTTAAGCCACAACAAGAAGGCCTAGTTAATTATTTCCTAAACCATTCATGCAGACAGCTGAGTGCCCAGACCACTTAAAAAAAGAAGGTGGGGAGGAGACTTGTTACTTGTAAAATAATAGGTCTTATTTTTGAAGACATACTCTGATAATGACCAAGAAACACTTGCAACAGGATGTCAGCCTAGGGGGATGCGGAGGAATTCTGCACAATCTTCTTGATGGCAGATGCTTAATCCCTGCATAGAGATGCTGAGATATTACAGTCAAGTCACTGAGGATACATCAGGTAGTGCCAACTAAGTCCAGCTACCTACTATTATGAACAGTTGGAGTGATTCTCTGAGGCAGAATAATGAGCTATTACAAAGAGAATAACTCAAGCAAGGGAATCAGTGTAAGAACATCCTCACCCAGGGAAAAAACTCTGGTTGAAGCATGTGATGTTATGCAAGTTCCATGACAGAACAGTGGTGGAAAGTATCAAAGGCACTTCAATGCATTGGGAAAATTGCTAAGGAAATCTTCACCAATTCATACATCATAACTTTAAATATAGCAGATTTTGTATCTGTACACTATCTGCCATGTATTGTAACTATCAATTATACATTAGACAGATTTATCTAATTTTCTGGAAAACATGTAGCTTTTTACTGAAATAGTGATAGTATGAAGTTAATGACATTAGAATTGAGGGAGAAAGCAAAGACAAGCTTACAATATTTTATAAGCAAGTTACAACAAAGGGGGTGTATCTACACATGTGCCCCACTGTGCAGTTGGTACTGCTTTAGCAAGTACTAAATGACTGTGCATTACCCGCTTATTGCTACTGAGCAGTAGTGGCGACATCACAGTTAGTGCCCACCAAGGCTATAGCTTGTCACTATGGTGATGTAGCATTTCATGTAGACACGCCCACTGAGGGGTAAAATATCCAAAGTCAATATATCATAGCGTAGCAGATTCCCCATAAATTACATTACACTAAAATTAGTCAAAATTTTATTTATACTTTTTACCTGTTTAAAAATCCTTGAAAAGTAAAAGTGATATTTACAATATATGCACACAAAGTAGTGTGTGTGTACTGTGTGTACTACATCTGATCCCTGAATCTCAGCTGCTAAACACCAAGTAAAAATTTACAGAAACCTCCCAAGATGCAAGATGTCAGATTCTTGGTTAACTATATAGTGGAATACAGCGATGGATTATTCCTGCAGCTCTCAGAGCCACAGAATCTGCTAACATTTCTTCCTTTGTAAGATCCCCCCGACCAGTATAATTACATCCCACAAAAGACAAAACAAATTATGAAAAAAATAATGATACATTTTGCCATCATTAAAAATTAAATATGGCTTTCAAAATCAACTGCTTCAAATATGCATGAATATGACAATGAGAAATTGGTCACTGCAGATTGCTCACTGAAGTGGGTGTGAAGCTGAAGTCAGGGTGAAATCAGAATTATAAAAGAAAACATTCCAGCAAAGCCAATTAGCCAAGGTCAGACAGAAGCAGCACACATTTCTGCAACCCCTATAACAAAAGGAAACAGAATTTAAAAAGTAATGTAAGTAGTAAAACAAAAATCAGTCCTAAAGTTGCAGAATTAAGTCTCAAAAAAAAAAAAAAAAGCCCTTCTTTTACACTGACAGGTTTTAGGTTTTAATTATGTAAAACATTAATGAAAGGATTTCATTTTCTATCTTCTTGTAAATTTGTTTCACAAAATGTTCTAATTACCTGCAGACATATTAATAGCTCTTTGAATGATATATTAGCATACCAGTCTAAGATGTGCTCTCATAGCAATAATAAAATGAGACTTCCAAAAAGTATACCAGCACATAACTATGATACAGTATGTATATAAATACAGTACAAATGCTGTTCACTGTGTGGGTAAAAGCTGTGAGTTCCAACTATGAGATGCACACCATCTAGAAAACCTCAAAATATTGTATTCTGAAAAGTAACTGTATGAAATTGCTGCTCTCTATCCCCAGTCCCCCACAGCGCTGCTGACTGTGTCCAGTCATTCTCATCTATCCTGGCATAAAGGTCACCACCTGGAATAAAGATTTATTTTTACTAAATTAGCACTCTAGTGCCAATATGGCAACAGGGCCCACTTTTATTCTGGTTTATATTGATAGAATGAGAAGGGTAGTTGGGATAATACATGAATGAAAGAGACCCCAGCCTGATTTTCAAGTTTGAGATTATGTTTGCAGGATTGGAATTATATAGAAGTGTCATCACTGCACCATCTATTGATTGTCTTTTGATCTACCCCACATGTACTCAGTTTACAAGTAAAAAGCGGACATTTTAGACTCAATTTTAATTGGACATATTTTAATTAAGGATAATAGGAAGGAAGTAACATGACAAGTGAGAGTCTGCATGATATTTCTCAGGAGAGAAGGAAGGGGCTATTTAAAAAAAATTCTGCAGAATTTAATACAAAATGGGGTTTCTTTACTCCCTCTCTACACATTCCAACACTTGAAGAGAATTTCTGATCCCATTCCCAAAGTCAATATTAACTGGCATCAATGCTGGATATCAGGTACCTCAAAATTCCAATTTTAGAAATCCTTAGGTCCTAGAGTTTTTCACAATTTAAGTGTGGGTTGTAAATCAAGTGAGAGTAAATCTAGAGAAATACCCGTCCTTAAAAAATACAACATAATTTTCATGTTACAGCCTTCAAACAGCATCACAAAATGTTTTACAGAGAGAGAAGTATAGTAGAGACTAAAAAACGACTGTAAAGTGTAAGAGTTTACAGACTCAACTGCAGTAACACATACAGGCTGGGGAAAAAATACCAGGAAGAAATGGATGATAAAGTGAAATGCAGAAGTCAGGTTTATGAAATGGTCACTTTAAAAACAGTAGCCTGATTCCCCAGGCAATTACACTTGTTTTAGACCAATGAACTCTACTGATGCCAGTGGTCTCTCTCCATATTTGTAATGATTTAAGTAGATGGAAAAATATAAACCAACATTGTTTAAACTTTCCCATTCTTCCTTTTTTCCCCCCCTTCAAGGTAGTCAGTTAACACAGGTTTTCAAAAATAAATCCTGGGCAAAGTCCAGGATAGTGTGACCACCAGGAACCAGGTTTCCCAAAAGAGGGCTCCCCTATTTTGGGGTTTGAACCAATAGTATAGTCACAGGGATAAGACTGCCTCGAGTAAATGCGATGCATTAATCTGAACTATTATTTTCAAGGCTTTAATTTGAGATATATATTCCAGAGTCGATTACAGTAATGTTACTCGATACACTTCCATGGGGTCGTAAGAATCAGATTTGGCCTTCAGGTATGCCTGTGCAAATCCACTGAAGGGAATGATACCAGATGATGATAACTGGTTTCAGAATTTGTAAATGTATTATATAACCACAGTTGTATTATGTAACTGGGTATGCCAAGATGGAATAAATGTTACATGCTTAACCCATAATCACCTCTTGTTGTGATATTTTTCATTAAAAAGTCCAAGCTCCAATAATTTAGCATTCTCTTAATCAGTTTCATTAACACTGACTTCACCGTGAGACTGTTTTTAAAGATTACTAAAGTAATTTGTTATTCTTACCTTTTTCAAACAATTAATTTTTTACTCGAAATATCTGGACTCCTAAAAAAAAAAAGAAGATATGGATATCTGGATTAGTTCAACATGAACACACATGCAGCAAAGTATTTATGTAAAAGCTGTGTTAAACGGCATGGGTGGGGAACGCTGCGTGCCTGTAATATAAAAATCCCAGGTACCTGAGGCAGGGGTTTTCGGCTGGATACAGAGCAGGGGGTGGGGAGGAGGATGGGGATTGGCGGCAGCGGGATGTGGAGCAGAGGCAGCACAGGGTGTTGGGTGGTGGTGGCA